AAAAAAAAAAAAAAAGAATCAATTCAAACATATGGTCTTATGTCCTAATTAGACAGCATTAGGTATTTGCTCACTTTTTCCTAGCATTTATCAGATTCTAATTATTCATTTATAGAACTCACCATATAAGCTAATATCATATACTGATATGGCACGTTGTAGATACTTAATATATGTCTTTTGATACATGAATGTTCTGAGTTCTAGAGAGTGTGGAATTGGGTTCAGGATACATTGTATTCCTGTGAAATGTCAGCCTGTGAACTTGTAGAACACAGTGTGGATGTTTATTTCTTTCTTCCTCACAGTGCCTTGCACAGTGTCTTTTATATATTAGATATTGAAATCATTGAATGAATGGACCTGGATTATTTATTAACTGGATGAGTATTTGGCCTAATGTATATCCTGAAATGTAATGCTTTACATATTTTTGTGAATTTTCCCTTGGTACAATTTCATGAAATAAAATATCATTGTGGAAAACATTTGAAAATCTTAATATATGTTAAATGTTATGATTAAATATGGCAGGATTCTTTGTTAGGAAGAATACATCTAAGTATTATAAATTACTTACTGTGGAATGTGACAAATAGGTGTACTGTTACATGGCTATGGATAGAAGATATGCATACATATAGAAATAATTGTAGCTGTGTAAAGTAATTTTTGCCTCTTTGAAATGTTGTGATAGTCTCACTTTTCTGTACTATTTATTCACTTACCTATTTTTGCTCCTCTTAGGAACAGTGATAGAATAAACTAGGTGGTATGCCCTGTGATTATTAATGATTACTGTTATTGGAGCACTTTGACATGTAAATAACTTCAGATTCTTTTAAGTACAAGTTCAGTATCCCTTATCCAAAATACTTGGGACTATAAGTGTTTTTTTGTTTGTTTGTTTTTGTTTTATTTTGGTATGTTTGGATATATTTATTGGTTGAGCATCTTAAACCTGAAGACCTAGCCTGAAATACTGCAGTGAACATTTGCTTTGAGCTTCATGTTTGAGCTCAAAAAGTTTCAGGTTTTGGAGCATTTCAGATTTTAGATTTTCTGATTAGGGATACCTAGTTTGCAGCAGATGCAGACATCTGGTTTTATTTTTAAATGTCTTCTATTCCTCAGATACAGATTTTCCTTTTTATGTGCATTGATTCTTTTGGTCTGAATTTAAATGTTGTATAATCCATGTGAATTCTTACAATAATCTCATTTCATTCAGTGATGATATGCAAATGAAAAAGGGAATAGTGTAAATGATTTTATGATTTAGAAATCTTGAACTTTCTTAAAAGTTTTTTGTTAAAATTATACAGTGGTCCTTCTTTATTCTGTGGAATTGTTCTAGCAACAACCTCCCCACCTCCTGCAGATACCAAAATACTGGGATGCTTAAGGCATAATATTTGCATATAATCTATGTGTGTCCTCCAGTATAACTATTACAGTGTAAATAATATGTAGATAGTTGCTATACGTTTTTTGCTTTTGTTTGCTTTTTTTTTTAATTTTTTTTTTTAACCCCAAATATTTTCTATCTGTGGTTGGTGGAATCCACTGCTGAAAAAAATCAGATACTATAGAAGAGAATACAAAGAAGACCGGGCTCCGTGCCTCACGCCTGTAATCTTAGCACTTTGGTAGGCTGAGGTGGGTGGATCACAAGGTCAGGAGTTTGAGACCTGCCTGGCCAACATAGTGAAACCCTGTCTCTACTAAAAATATAATCATTAGTCAGGTGTGGTGGCGTGCGCCTGTCGACCCAGCTACTCGGGAGGCTGAGGCGGGAGACTTGCTTGAACCTGGGAGGTGGAGGTTGCAGTGAGCTGAGACCAAGCCATTGCACTCCAGCCTGGGTGACAGAGTGAGACTCAGACTGAAATAAAAAGAGTACAAAGAAGCAAAAATACCCTTAGGTCACCGCCTACAGAGAACATGTCTGATACATTTTAGTGACCATCTTTAGCAAGTTTTTACACACTTGCATGCACAAACATTCCCCCATTCCCTCTGAGGCATAAGGAAACTATTTTACATAAATAGCAATTGAGTTTTCATTGCTGTTCTCTAGCTTATCTTTTATTTTTACTGAGTCATAGTATAGGTGTCTCTTTCCATGTTTAATAAAAATATATCAACTCAAAATTTTAAAAGTTATACATTATGACATGTTCCACAGTCTACATGACAAAATCCTACTGGTAGATACTTGTTTTTTTTAAATTATAATTTAGAAAATTCTGTGCTAACCTTAATCTTATCTACTTGTATCATTTTTCTGCTTAGCTTTAATTCCTAGATGTGGGTTTACTAGATCATAGGGCATGCTTATTCTTTGCTTATTCTCCTCCCCTCCCCTCTCCCTCCTCCCTTTTCTTGCCCTTTCCCTTCCCTTTCCCTTTCCCCTTCCCTCTTTCCCCTTTCCCCTTTCTCATTTTACTATGCTGGAGTGCAGTGGCATGATCACAGCTCACTGCAGACTTGATCTCCTGGGCTTAAGTCATTCTCCTGTTTCAGCCTGCGGAGTAGCTACAGGTGTGTGCTATCATGCAAAGCTAATTGTTTTTAATTTTTAGTAGAGATGGGGGGTCTCACTGTGTTGCCAGGCTGATATTAAACTCCTGAACTCAAGTGATCCTCCCCCCTTGGCCTCCCAAAGTGATAGGATGACAGGTGTGAGCCACTGCATGGCATTATTTTTCATTTTGATAATATTATCAAACTGTTCTCATAAAAGGTACACCAGGAATCTATTTCTGGCAAACTTTGTAAAGGATGAACTTAAACTATCTTGGGAAATTTACGTGTTTGTAGTTTTTTTTTTTTTTTTTTTTAAACGATAATGTCAAGTTTAATCTGCCAGATATACAAGCTGAATTTGTGGAGCATGTTTTGTCTGGGTGCTGCACAGTAAACAGAGGTTTCTTGAAATGATCGATGGGTAGGATTAAAAATGGGCACTGACCCTGGCCAGGTGGGTAGGAACCAGGTAGGGAAGGACAGAGAGGCGAGGCCTTGGTCAGACAGAATGGACAGACCATGACCCTCAAGGACCTAGGGGCACAGGCTTCCAGATGACAGCCCCTTTCTGAATGAGCACCCAGGCAACACAGCCTGGGGCTGGTTGTAGCAAACCCATCAGCAGCTGCCTCCTGGCACAACCACCCCCTTACGTGCTATCTACCAAAAGGAAAGCTCTTCATACCCCATCTTCCAGGCACCCCCCAGCAAGGGCTCTGAATTCTAAAAACAGCAAAAAACATTCAAATGGTTACATATGAAATGCTGTCCTGCATCTTTCTGTCTCAAAAATAGCAGCTTGCCCCTCCCCCTCCCACATCGCCCCAACAATTTCTCTGCCAAGATGAAGAGGGGGCCCCAGGCCATGGGGGGCTCCTGGCCATGAGGGGCTGTTGCAGCGGCACCAGGCTACAGGGTGGGCGAGACGCAGCAGAGGTCCTGGCAGTGTGGCCCAGGTCCCTGGCATTTCCTCCCATGAATCGTGTTTACTTATTCAGGGAGAGTGACTGCATTTGTTTTCCTGACAATGTGGCATCATCTTTTGCTTTCCTTTCCTCCTCCTCGTTTCTTGCAGCCTCCTTCTGCTGTTTCCGCATGATGGCCAACCAGGCCAGGTCTGCCTTGGCTTGCTCTGTCTTCCCAACCAAGTGCGTTTCCATGTAACGCTTTTTTGCCTACTGCTTCTCAATCTTGTCTCCTTCTCTCCTTGAAAGCTCCTTTTGCCCGTCCAGATCCAGTTGTGTGACCTTTTTGGTTGTCTGTGCTACCTGGTTGGGGTTCTCAATGTCGATGAGCCCTTCAATACCTTTGCATTTTGCTGGTAGTCATCTTCTTCATCCTCGCTCTCATCTGAGTCTAGAGATTTCTTCTCCTTTTTGGGGTCACCTGCAGCCCCATCTCCACCTTCTTTTTGCTCCTCTTCTTCCCCCGCCTTTTTTCTGCTTCTCAGCCTGGAGCTGCACGGAAATCTCCTCAGGGCTTGTATACTGCCTCGCCTGGCCTTTGTGGCCTCCCTTTCTCCCTCCTTTAGGCAGCGTTGCTTTGGCCACCGCCACGTGTCTGTAGTTTCAGGTCGTTATGTACAGAGAATTGCTTAATACTGAGATCATAAAAATTTTTGTTTTCCTCTATCATAATGTAAAGCTTATTACTAATTGATCTTCATTTGTCAGGTTCCAACATACACATGCTACTTCCCTCTTAAAATTGTCAAGGTATAAATAGGAGAATTTTGATTTAGAATGCTAATATGAATCTTTTGGAAATATTAGTAATTAGCTTTCTTCTGCCTTCTCCATCAATTTTATCTGATTTAGAGAATTATATTTCCTTTATTGAGCTGCTTAAATCAGAGGGCCTAGTTTGCTTCAGAAGGTTTATAAACTATGTTATTAGACTGATTCTTCAGGAGTCATTGTATTTAGTTGTCACTTTTTTTTTTTTTTTAAGATTAAACTTGGCAGGTTTTGAAGAGGTCGGTTTCTGATTAACCCAGAAGTTGAGTATATTTTGATAATAAATTTTAAATTGGTCATATTTGTATGTGCTTGAAATAAGCGGAAATAACAATTCATTAAATAACAATAGAAAAAACCTTATATGAACTTGGGGATTCTTGTTAACCAGCTGACTTCCTCCTTTCCATCTTCTTCTCTTCCTCTTTATCCTCTGTTGTTTATTAACACTGAATAATAGTAAAATTAGGTCTGAATTGGGCTGCTCTTTATGTCCATGGAGCTCAATTTTATTTGAGACAGGGTCTTACTCTGTCATTCGGGCTGGAGGGTGGTTACGTAGACATGGCTTACTGCAGCCGTCACATCCTGGGCTCAAGCAATTCTCCTGAATAGCTGGGACCACAGGTGCATACCACCACACCTGTCTCTTCTTGTTGGCCAGGCTGGTCTCAAACTCTTGACCTCAAACAATCCTCCCGCCTTGGCCTCCCAAAGTTGTGGGATTACAGGTGTGAGTAGCCGTGGCTGGCTGGGTCTCATCTTTTTATGTCTTTTTAGATCATTTTAACAAGGCAAAAAAAAACTCTTCAATCCTGTCTTTCTCCCTCATTATTAGTATGCTCTCTTCTGCTTTTCCAAATAATTTATTGCCCATTGATGTTGCCAAGTCACTCCCAGTGGCATGGGTAGAGGTAATTGAATTGGAGACATATTTGTGTAAAGTAGACTCTGTGACTTGGTGCTTCAAAGATGTGGGCATTATCAAAAGGACAGTCGAACTGTGCGTGTGACATAGTATCTATTTAGGAAAGAGATGATAAGGAAAGCACAGCAAAAGTTGAAAAACCAACTTTATAAAAGTAGATTGAATTGCTCACGAGTTATTTGAAGTGGTACCTGTAGATCACTTCTCTACTAGTGGGTGTTTAACCAAAAAGAGTTGGCTAAATTTTATATATAGATAACTCAAAGTCAAAGAAATCCTTAATGTTTTTAAAACATTACCACTAGATTTGTCTTCTGGCCAAGGTGAAAGAACAAAGGTTAGACTTACCCTCTCTTCAGAAACAGCTAGAAAACTAAACAAAACATATGTAACAACAGTTTTAAGACAGTAGTTACCAGACACTGAAAGACAGTGATCCCTGAGGGATGGAAAACAAATGAGGTGAACTTTGTGATTAACTCAGCTTACTACCTTGGGAGAATTTCCCAACCTTGTACAGAAAGGGGGACATCAGGTGGAGCCTGCTGATCTGTCTGAATTGAAGAGACCAAACTGGTAGTCCACAGTGGCCATGGTGGCGATAGTGTACAAGAAAACATACTAAAGAGAAGAGAGCTCCAATACGGAGACAACCCTGGCAATTTGCCAAGGGTTCCCTCTTGAATCTTTAGCTGATGAGAATTAAGGATACAAATGAAGAGGCTACCAGAGCTGGAAAAAGAAGTTCCCAGTCAACAATACTTAGATCTCATACATGGCCAGTAGTTCCTGCTTTCGCTAGCTAAAATGGAAAACTTCATAATTCTTGAAGCACCAAGTACGGCTAATTGGAAGGCATTAGCCTCAGTAGTGGGACCAAATTAGCCTTAGAATAAATTCTTCCCTGGTTCCTCCTAACAGCTTAAAAGCAAGACCTGGAAGAATCAAACTAATTTTTAAGCAGTTTCACTACAACAGAGAGCAAAGGTCAAGAAGATTTATAGGAATACAATAATATCCAGCACCCAGCAGATAAAAGCCACATTATTTACTATATAATCAAAAGTTACCAGATAGGCAAAGAAGGAGGAAAGTAACACCCATAAGAGAAGAAAATATAATCGTTCAAAACTGACCCAGAAATGATTCAGAAATAGTATATAAGAACATGAAAAATAATTATTATAACTATTTCATATGTTGAGGAAGCTTAGAGGAAAGATTAAATATGTTAGTACAGGAATGAAACATATATACATATATAAGAAAATAATTTGAATCAGACTTTGAAAGTTTAAAGCTATAGTGTCTGAAATGAAAAATATGTTGGTTGGGAAGAATGGCAGTAAATATTACAGAACAGTTTAGTGAACTTGAAGGTATAGCAATAGAAACTGCTCCGAAAAACCACACTCAGAGAAAATGTGAGCTGTGGGATAACATCAAGTGACCTAATATCCTTATAATTGGAATTCCTGATGGGACTGGTGGAATGCACAGAAAAAGTATTTTAAGAAATGATGGACAACATTTTCCAAACTTGATGAAACTAAATGCACAGATTCAAGGTGTCCAGTGAGTCACAGGCAAAAGAAACATGAAGAAAATTACAACAAGGCACATCAAAGAATCAGCTGAACCAAAAAACAAAACAAAACCATTTTTGATGAACAGTGATACCATTGGCATTCCATATCCATGGGTTTTACATTCTTGGATTCAACCCATCATGGACTCGGAAGAAAAAAACAACAACAAAAACTCAAACACCCCGAAAAAAAAAATAAAACCAAAACAAAACCCACACAACAATATAAATAATACAAATAAAAAATACCATGTAACATTTATATAGCATTTATATTTCATTAGGTGTAAGTAATCTAGAGATGATTTAAGGTATGCAGGAATATACATCAATGTGCATAGACTACATACAACCATTAGGCATTTAATATGAGGGACTCGATTACCTGTGGATTTTGGTATCTGCGGAGGGACAGGAGGAGGGTCCTGGAACCAATCCCCTGCAGATACTGAGAAACGACAGTACCGATAGCAGATTTCTCATTGGAAATAATGCAAACCATAGATAGTATAACAGTATCTTTAAAATATAGGAAGGAAAAAAAAGTGTCACCCTAGAATTCCATACTTGGAAACAATATCCTTCAAAAATGCGGTCAGATTGAGTCTACTGTGAGATTAACCCTGACCAGTATTCAAGAATATTAGTAGATTCTCAATTATTCATCCCATCATTGTATGACAAGTATTTTTTATAGGCCTTTTTGGGCCTTATATGCAATGAATTGTTACATCTCTTATGTTCTATTTTCATTCAACAGAAGCTACTTCTTGTCTTTCTACTTAATTTAAAAAAGTTTTTTAGGCCGGACATGGGGGCTCATGCCGTAATCCTAGCACTTTGGGAGCTAAGGTGGGCGGATCTGTTGAGGTCAGGAGTTTGAGACCAGCCTGACCAACATGGTGAGACCCTGTCTCTATTAAAAATACAAAAATTAGCTGGGAATGGTGGTGCATGCCTGTAGTCCCAGGTACTCAAGAGCCTGAGGCAAGAGAATCTCTTGAGCCTGGGAGGTGGAGGTTGCAGTGAGCCAAGATTGTACCACTGTACTCCAGCCTGGGGGACAGAGCGAGACCCTGTCTTAAAACAAAAATTTTAATGGCTGTACTTTTATCTCATTGCACTGTTTATTAAGTTAGCCCTTTAATTTGTAGGTATTTTAATGTAGTCTTTAAGTATTACTTTTGGTAGAGTCCACCAGAGTATAAAATACTGAATTTTATTATAAAAATGATAGTTTCTGTTGAATAATAGGATAGTAGAAAAGCATAAAATTGTATTAAACTTGAGTTAAAAACCTTATCAGACAATTATTTGTTAACCCTTATTGGTCATTTATAGATAGGGAATTATCAGTTGTATTAGGTGGGATGTCTAGACTGTCACATTATCTCATTTAAGATATAATGATTATAATTACAATAACATTTAAACTAATGGTCAAGTTTCTTGATTTATTATATTTGGGTCTAGAGGGTAGTGGTAGGGATCATTTTCGAAAGTTGGGGGAATGATGCCATTTTGGAGAACTCAATATATAAGAATCACGTGGTTGTTTTTGACATGAAAATTGTGGGGCAGCCTGGGCACAGTGGATCATATAAGTGCTGTAATTCTAGCACTTTGGGCGGCAAGGGCTGGCAGATTACTTGAGGCCCGGAGTTTGAGACCAGTTTGGCCAACATAACGAAACACTGCCTCTACCAAAAATACAAAAATTAGCCAAGCTTGGTGGTGCACACCTGTAATCCCTGCTACTAGGATGACTGAGGCAGGGAGAATCACTTGAACTTGAGAGGTGGAGGTTGCAGTGAACCAAGATTGTGCCACTGCACTCCAGCCTGGGCAGCAGAGTGAGACTCTGTCTCAAAAAAAGAAAGAAAGCAAATTGTGGGATAAATTTGAATGTATGAGAATCTAAAACTATTAAATGAACATTAACTTTTTAAAATATGCATTTAGAACTATTTAAAACATAAATGTAAATTAGGCTTTAAATTATGAGTAGAAATGAGTCTGTATCTGTGTATTTTACAGAAACCAAAAAGTTAATATTATAGAGAAATATCTATGTCTTTAGGAAAGGATTATTCAAACATAGGGCAGGGATAGTAAAACTTTAATTTTTTTATTTCTATTTTTCATATTTATCCCAAACTCCTTATTGTTGTTGAAGTTAGTCAGATAATTTATATAATTCAAGTCCTTAGGTCGTCTAATCCTAGATAAAAACTTTGCCCCCTAAACCTGAAAGAAATAGGTTCTTTTCTGAATAGATGTTTCATTTTAATGTGATACTTATTTTAGTTACCAGTTTTGCCTTGTCTTTCAAAAAACTATTCTTAACATGTTAAAGCTATATACCTACACTATTTTTAATAGGTTTTATAGTTTAAAAAAAGGTTTGTATTTTAAACTAGTAATATTAAAGAAGTTTTAAGAATGCATCTTTATTGTATGTTATTTTAAAGATTTTTATCATGAAAAAGTATTTTAGATAAGGTCTTAATTTCTGATTTTTACGTTAAATGTATTTGATCATTCTCTGGTCTGGCTACAGTTAATTCATATTATCTATTAATAATAGTTCTACTCTCTTATTCCTAGATGTTTTTGTGTGTAGTTGTACCTAAATCTTGCATAATTATTTTTTCTGCTGTTTAAATTATTTTATCTTTAATCTCAAGTGCTCACAGTTGAACAAAAACTCTCAAACCACCAAATTAAGTAATACTAAATCAAGAAAGGGTTTTAAGTCATCCTTTTCTTAATTCAAATTCATTGTTGGGTAGGTTTTGGCATCCTTAGTTGTTGAATCTGTAGAAGTTACAGTTTTGTGTGTAAATCTTAATAGTTAGATTAATTTTAATAACTTCCAGTCTAATATATTTCGAGGCCATTTATAATTTGTTAGGAAAGGTAAGATGGTCTTTCACCTCCTTTTCCCCCCTTTATAGGCCTCAAAATAATAAAAATAGGCTTTCAAAATAGTAAGGTTAGAGAAACTCATTTTTGAAATCAGTGTTATTTACTGTAATTGTAGGATGTATATGAAATAGAAACTGGATAATACCTATTTCTCAGGAACATACTAAAATATTCACAATTGTATATTATTTTCCTTATGTTAATTTTGCTGTCTCCTAGTAATCTTGTGTAATTCTGAAGTCCGCATCTCTGGCCACTTTGGACTCTCTTATCAAGATATAAGTGGCTTTTATCTTGACCCTCAACTTCTAAGATTTAGGTTTAACTGGGACATACCAGCCCTGACATACTTTTCATTCTGTTGGTAGCCATTTGTTTCCTTAAAATAGGAAGTACTGCACTGGCTTGTGCTCTACTCCAGAAATCAAGGAATTGGCCATCCGTTTAGAGAACCTACCACTATTTTGGGGAATGTTACATTGGAAATGTTTTTAAAATACATTTTAAGTCATAAAAGAGGATTTTTTCCCCCTTTGGAAAATGTATTTTGCCTCAGGCCTGATAATACTTTTTCCGAAATTCATGCCTTAGATGTGGCAGTAAAAGATTGATTCTGTAGCTCTAGTATGTTTTAATTAAGTCCAGATTTAGCATTGTTGTATATTTTGTCACTTTTTACTTAACTTTAGCTGGCACATAACTGATAATACTCATTTTGGAGTTTACATTCAGGTTAACCTGGTGACTTGTACCTTCCAGGTCTAGTATTTTGAACTCTAACTTGGCAGTATTTTGAACTCTAACTCATTCAAATTTAAATAGGAAAGTTGTTCTTTCTGCCTTCTGTGGAAATTTAATGTGGGCAATATAGAGACTTCATGAATCTTATGTCTAGACTCATATGTTCTAGTATTTCTTAAAGCTAAAAATACCGTGCCACTTGAATATATAAAAAGTTGTAGCATAGTACCACTGTGAAAAAGATGTTTTCCATGTAATCTCATAGTCAAATATTTTTTGGTTTAACAAGTCTCCTGTGGTACTGCATGGCCATTAGGATCTCTTTAGTTTTTCTAACATCTTGATTCCTTCCATGTTTGCCTTGTTTTTAAATGTTTTTCTAACCTTTACTTTGTTACTTAAATACATGATACCATATTATTAGGGAAATGCTTGAAGTACCTACAAAAATGAAAGTGATTAATTTTGGAAGAAAGGTAGTTTTGACCTTTATTTTGGTAGAAGTGGTTGAAAGATACTAAACTTGAAACTTGTTGCTCAGTTTTGAGGTAATCTCAACCTCCCAGTCTGTGAAACATAATAGTTTGGTAATGATGCATGCTCAATAATAAAGACAAATTTTACACATTACTGAGTTTAAAATCCTGCAAATGAAATTATTAAAATCTTCACATTTGATTATCAAATTTCCCTTAAGAAATTTAATTATGACATACCAAAATATGGAACCTAAAACAGCTGTTAATCCTTTCAGTAATATATTTTACTAAGTAAATAAAGCACTGTGGAATAATGCCTAGTAGATTCAATGTCTTGGGGCTTAAAGTGTGTTAACTTACTATATTTGATTTTTAAATAGACACCAAATCCTACTGCAAGCGAGTTTATTCCTAAAGGAGGATCAACCTCCAGGCTGAGTAACGTGTCCCAGTCAAATATGTCTGCCTTCTCTCAAGTTTTCTCTCACCCATCCATGGGAAGCTCTGCCACTGCTGGATTAGCGCCAGGTAAGTTGAGTAACTATTTTCAGTGAGTTCCAGATACCAAATCTGTAAGCACCATTTACTGTTATCAGAACTGAAATTGTATACTTGAATGATTCACATTTGAACACATTATGAGCTTTCTGTTCTAGTTTTTGGTACCATAGGCCAAATGTGTAGTTGAGAATTTTAAAGCAAAATTTAAATATGAATGAAATTACATATAAGGCTTTTTATGTATACAACTCACAAAAAAATTTAAAGGGTTATTTAGGAAAAAAACTATCTTTTTGTATTTCTCTATTTTTAAAAGTCTGTGCTGTTACACTCAAACTTATAAAGGCATCAGAAATAGAGGGAATATTTATGTACATATGCCTCAGTCTTCCTTTTATATTAAATTTCTAAAAAATAATTTATATCATTCTAAATACATCTTTAGATGGTATTCCTTTTCAGATATTTGATTATAAATGCTATAGTAGTAATTTTAAATTGGGTGAAGTATTATAAGTATTATAAACAGTAGTAGGAAAAAAATAGCACATTAGGGGTCATTGCAGTAGAGAAAAACACATTTTAGTCACCTTCTGCCAAGTGCACCCATAATGGCAGAAGAATTTGGGCAAATGTGCTTGTATTCCAGGAGTCCTGAAGGCATAGTTCGATGTGACCCATTGTGAAATCTATGATTCTTTGCAGTCTTCCTTTTTATATTAAGAATTAATGCATCTACCACTCCATAACGTTTATTTTAATATAAAAATATTTACATTTTAAAAATTAACATCACTCATCTCCACTGCTGTGTACCTTGATTTGGAAAGTGAGGTGGTATGCACAATCATATTGAATTCATAGTGCTGAGCAGATTGTTATCTTATTTGTAAAATGTTTGAGTTGCACACACAAATTATGTTTCTAGAAACTATTGAAAAGGAAAATCATCACTTAGTCTTGGATATTTAAAAAAAAAAAACAAAAAACCAAGGCCGGGCATGGTGGCTCACGCCTGTAATCCCAGCACTTTGGGAGGCCAAGGTGGGTGGATCCCTAGATCAGGAGTTCAAGATCAGCCTGGCCAAGATGGTGAAACCCTGTCTCTACTAAAAATACAAAAATTAGCCGGGCATGGTGGCGGGCGCCTGTAATCCCAGCTACTCGGGAGGCTGAGATAGAGAATTGCTCGAACTGGGGAGATGGAGGTTGCAGTGAGCTGAGATTGTGCCACTGCACTCTAGCCTAGGCGACAGAACGAGACTCTGTCTCAGAAAAAAAAAAAAACAACCTAAAACAGAAACAAAATGAAATATATATACACAGTAAAACAAAGCGGAAGGATATATCTAGATCAGCTGGGAACTGGTATTGCCTCCAGGGCTTAATCCAGTTGGTAAGATAAATCTTTGAGTTAAATGCTGTTATATCTAATTCAAGGACCTCTTTGGGAAGAAGAATGGGAGAAGATAAGGACAACACAGTGAAACAGAGCATCTGTTTTGGCATATAAAGTATCAGTGTACTCAGAGCTTTAATAACCTTGTGTTGTCAAAGATTTTGTCAGCCCGTCATTTCCCCACCATTCTCTCGCTACCTGCTTCCCTTCCAACTCTCCTCCGCCGACTTGTTCCCTTACCGTTTCTTCTACTTTGGTTTTTTTTTTCAGGTTCAGTTAAATTTGTAAGCATATTCCTTTCTTCTCTAGAGAGCAGTATCAGAATTGAATATCTCTGGTAGCCTAAAAGTTTTATTGTAAGTAATATACTACTACGATTATACTACTATGATTTTTCTCTCATTGAGTTGTGTTCACATTGTTTACATAAGCATAATCTACAAGTTAGCTATACATCTAAAATTTCTTAGATATTGTCTAGACCTCTGAGCAGAGAGAGTGTAATTCACCTTTATAAGTCTGTTTCTGAAATACCTGCAATAATGGGATCCATATACCACTCAGAAAACTTTGGCCTTCTTAATCACATGCCAATTTATTTTGACCTAACAGTACTTCCTTGTATCAGAAATAAACATTTGATAACTTATTTCATCGCACTAATTTAGACTTGCCATTCAAAAAAAAAATTAGCCTTTGCAATTGGAGGAGTTAAAAATATTAAAGGGAATTTTAGATCTTAAAAACATTTAGTTTAAAAAAATTCATTAATGGTTATGGTATAGGTATAAGCTTATTTGGAGGTGGTTGTATTCATTGATCCCAATTGGACCTCACAATCGAAACTTAGGATGAAATTAATTAATTTAAAAATTAAATTAGCTGAAAAACTATTCTACATTACCCTAGCATTAAAATGGTTATTCTAGCTCCTCTTAACGATGAAACTAATCACTCTCTGGAACTATTGGAAATAGGTCATTATATCCTATGAAATGTATTCATGAATTCCGATAACTATTATTTTTAAAGTGCTCTTCATTCACATGACAACACAGTTAAAATATTTTTTCAAAAAATATTGAAATCAGTGATTTTGCATAATTGTTTTTTCTATCTGGTTATTGGCTTAACACTGTCTGGAGATGAGCAAAGAAAACATTTAAGTCTGCCTTTTGGAAATACCGTTGTACTCTCAGTGTCTTCCATCACTTCTTACCCACAAATGTTAATTTGTTTAAGGAAGGGGTCTTCACATTTGCAATGTGAGGTTTATTTACATAATAAATGTAGAGTTTATTTACCTATTTTAGGGGTGATTTAGTTTATTTTTAGTGCTTGCTGTTTACCTACTTTAGGGGTGATTTTGTTTATTTTTAATGCTTACTGTCTACTATAGGTGTAACTCATTGATAATTTTTAGTTACAAATTTTTAATTTTCTTTTATAATTGCTATACCCAAAATGATTGCCCTTAAAAATATGTCAAATTACTGCAAAATATGAAACCTTAAATACTTTGACACTTTGTATACTAGAGTATTGTCATTTTCATTACATATGGGAAAGCACATATCTAAATATATTTTTGACCAAATATATTTGTCAAAATTTTTAGGCCATTTTATTTTGGCCTAGTATTTGCTGTTGAGTAGCTATTAAGAGTGGCTTTCCTCAAATTTTAAGGAACAAAGGCCTAATGCCTGGTACAAAGGAGGCTCTGAATGAATCACATTGCTTTTTTAAAACTTTGTTTTGATCGCTTAAGAAAAAATAAATCATGTAAAGTGTATGCCTCAGTGTAAGAAAGAAAACTTTATATAAATATTTGAATTTAATCACAGCTAATTGGATTTAAAAGGCATTAAAAATGTGTGGCATATATTTCTATCAAATTGTATACACACCCATTTTATTCTGTTTTAAGGAATCAAGAATGTAATAGATACATTTTTGTTATGCACATTGAACCTATGAACAATAGCTACATTTCCAAGTATCTTTTGTGAAGGTAGTTGTTTTAATGATACGGCACTTGGGCTTCATTGTCTTTGAGAACCCCTACAATTATATGCATATTTTTATTTGTAAATATGCATTTTTCTCTGGCAACAGCTTTTATATTCCTCACAGAGGTTCACAGCCTTTCAAAAGTTCAGAACCACTGTTTGTTTTTGTTTTGAATCGGAGTTTTGCTCTTGTTGTCCAGGCTGGAAAGCAATAGCTTGATCTCAACTCACTGCAACCTCCACCTCCTGGAAAACCATTGGTTTAACACAGCTTTAACAAGACTAATTTCCAGAGTGTCATATAGTAAGAATACTTTTAAGTAACATATAGCCTAAGGATACATTTTTCTACTAGCCCTTGTTTAGGCAGAGGGTTTTTTTTTTTTTTTTTTTTTTTTTAACTAGATCTCTGGAAACGAAGTTATGAAATGATAGTTTATGCATTAATTTTTGTGCCATGAAAAGTAATTTTATCATGAGAACTAATTGCTGAATGTTCTTTTTCATCAGAATTTTTCCTGAGTATTTTTATTTAATAGTAGATCTTGGTTAACTAAGTCTTCATGTACTCTAATTACCTCAGTGTTAACAAATCTCAGAGCACCACAGTGTGTTTGAAAATGACTGTAAGTGCAGCAGGAGCAGCATACATTTCCGGGTAGTGTTCTTGTGTATCATTTGGTGGTTTAGTGCACAATTGTATATCAGGAACTGAGCATCTATTCTTCTGCTTAATTATTGTGTGTGGGCCCTTGGGAGGGACAGAGGTGAGTTCTTGTATTTGCAAATGTCATCATTGATTTATAAATAAGAAAAAGAGCCACAGTGACTTTCAGCATTTTTCAATATTCATGCCTTTAAGATGAAAATAGTGCAGGTTTTTAAAATCATTAGATATGTTTTATTGTAAATTATTATTACTTTAGAGAGAGGGTTTCACTCTGTCATCCAGCCTGGAGTGTATTGGCACTGCAGCCTCCAGCTGCAGCTCAAGCAGTTCTCCTACCTCAAACTCCTGAGTAGCTAGGACTACAGACATATGGCAATTTAAAAAATTCTTTAAAAAAATTTTTTTTTGTAGAGATGAGTTCTCACTATGTTGTCCAGGCTGGTCTCAGACTTACCTCAAGTGATTCTTTCCCCTCACCTTTTCAAAGTGCTAGAGTTATAGAGGTGAGCCACCCTACTCAGCCTTTATTGCAAATTATTAAGACAAACTCATATGATTGATACAGGGAGAATCATCTAATTATTATATCAAAATTAGCATTATTAAATAATTGTATTCATTTATTACCAAGTTTTATTATAGGTTTTTGGAAAAATAAATCCAAAGAAAATTATGTTCTTAGATCCAGTTTTTAAAAAATACTGAACGGTCATTTCTTACGTATTCCTGAGGTTTGGTGTCAAATTTGTGGATAAAATTGGCTAATACCCTTTTTTAAAAAATATTTTTAGCTAGAGAAAGATGTGAGGGGAAAAAAATGGAAGGGAGAGAAAAAGAAGAGATTAATATTTGTCATTCTTGTTCAGAAATACCAAAACTTTTTATGAATGTTGTAGACTAAAAATAGTAGTTATTTACTGTTACAATATTGAAGGATTGGGGTAAGCAT